CTCTCTTTAGCTTTTATGTGTGTAGCTTCTGCTCAAGACACATTGGGTCTGAGCGGGTAAGTAAGGAGGGAATGTCTTCATTTTCCTAACATTCAGTTAGGGGTGGTCCAAATGAAAACACCCCTGTGCTTCAGTGTTATAGTCTTAGCCTCACTCAATCACCCATGTCCCCATGGTGAGGGGCTTTGGCCTAGGAGACAGAAATGGAACACATTTTGATTTGAACTTTAACTATGGCCTTTTTCTTTAGTCAGACAGCCAGCCCAGTAGGCCCTCAATTCTGCACTTCAGGTAAATTCCTGTTGTTAATTTTTAAATTTTGTCCGTAATTTATGCTTTAATATGTTTATAAATTTTATTTCTGAAGTAATATACATATAATAACAGAAAAAATAATACAGAGGAAATTCTTATCAATTATCAATAGCAATGTGTCCTACTCTAATCTTACTAAACCCACTCCTGCTTCTCAGGGACAAATCTCTTACAGCTGTCTATTATTAGTTGTAGTTGTACTACTTTCTTTCCTTCCTTCCTCCCTTTCTGTTTTCATTTCTTTCTTTCTTCTTCCTTCCTTTTTTTTCTTTCTCTTTTCCTGGAGTTCCTACTCTCAGAGTCTTCTATTCTCATGATCCAATATAGACAGCTTTTTATGTTTGCCTCATAGCATTTATTCTGGGGCTTTCCTTTGCCATCTGGCTTTGTTAAGTTTCCTGTTTTTTAGATTCCTTCTCATTATCTTGACTTATTTTCTCATTTTGTTCCAGCTTAACTTTCAGTTTCTGTTTAAGAAAGAGTTCATGGGAGGTAAATTTATGATATTTGTCTCCCCTCTGCACTGCTACACACACACGCGTGCGCGCACACACACACACTCACAGAGAGACAGACACACACACACCCTTTTTTTTTCTTGAGATGGAGTCTTGCTCTGTTACCCGGGCTGGAGTGCAGTGGCACGATCTCGGCTCACTGCAACCTCTGACTCCTGGGTTCAAGCTATTCTCCTGACTCAGCCTCCTGAGTAGCTGGGATTATAGGCGTACATAACCACACCTGAATAATTTCTGTATTTTTATTAGAGACGGGATTTCACCATGTTGGTCAGGCTGGTCTCGAACTCCTGACCTTGTGATCCACCCGCTTTGGCCTCCCAAAGTGCTGGGATTACAGGCGTGAGCCACCATGCCCAGCCACACTTCTTACGCTTAATTAATAGTTTACTATACAGTTCTACCTAGATTGTAATTTCCCCTAAGAATTTCCCAGGCATTGCTTCAATGTTTTCTTGTTTCTAGCAATGGTGAAGAGAAGTCTAGTATGATAGTTAGCAAAGAAGGACTGAGTAATCCTTTATAAGTGACTTACCTTTTTCTTATCTCCAAACTTTTAAAAAAGATTTTTCTTTTTAAGCACAGTGTTCTGAAATGTTACATGCATATATTCATTTTTTCTATTTTTTTTGCTGGTGAATCACTTGAAACTGTCATCCTCAAACTTTTTGGTTGCAGGACCATTTTATAGTCTTAAAAATTATTGAGATCCCTAAGAGTTTTTTAGATTTGGGTTATACATAGCAATATTAGATATTAAACCTGATAAAATTTAAAAAAAATATTTATTACAAATTCACTTAAATATTACAAAATAAACATTAAGGTTTGTATGTTATATATATTTTTTTTTTTTACTATTTCTTTTTTTTTTTTTAATTTATTTATTATTATTAAACTTCAAGTTGTAGGGTACATGTGCACAACGTGCAGGTTTGCTACATATGTATACTTGTGCCATGTTGGTGTGCTGCACCCATCAACTCGTCATTTACATCAGGTATAACTCCCAATGCAAAAATCCTCAAAATCAGTATGTTATATTTTTAATGTTAATAATTATATTTTCTTAAAATAATTAGGAGAGTGGCAATGGTCTACATTTTGCAAATTTTCTGAATATCTTAATATAATATAGCTGAATTTTCACATCTGCTTCAGGAGATGTTGTGTGGGTTCATATATATGCCATTAGAATAGAGAGGATTATTTTGAAAGCTTTTTCAGGTGATTGTGAACATTCTTCTTTTAAAACTACACCAAAACTCAACAAATGTTAGTTTCTTAAAGGTGAATAGCAAAGAGCATATCATTAAACTTTTATTTCCTCTCATATATAATTTATTGGCCTAATTTTCACTACAAATTAATCATTTACTATGCATGATTTTGGCTTTGCTTGTGGTGTTCATTTGAAAAACATTGCTTCCTTCAGTTATGTATATCTTCCCAGTGTAGACATATTTCATTATACCATATCAAAAAAAATACCTTCATGAATATTGCCAGAAATCTCATTAGAAAAATTTTTAGGTATTAGGAAACTGTCAAACTTATGGTATTGATAGAAGTTTCCCAACACTCTAATCTTCATTGGAAAGCTTTAATTTTATCATTGAAAATAAATTATCTCAGTTTTCTTATATGACAGTTTTTTATATTTCATTCATTTTTGAGTAAACATCTTTTCAATATTTAACTCTGAATAACCATAGTCTGTCAGTCATTCTTCAAAGATAAAATGATGTTCTATGAAAAAAGTGGCTAATTCTTTTTGCAGCTCAAGCAATCTCATAAGACATTCCCTCCAGGCAATTGTATGCTGGTATGCAGCAGAAGGGCCTTATGCACTTTTCATTCTATGACACAATATTCAAATGTCATGTCCCAGCTTTAATAAAATTAATACTTTTTATTGATCAATTAAGGTAACTTTTAAATGAAACTGGTGTGTTTTTTTTTTTTTTTTCCTTCCTTCCTGTATTTTTTTAGTCAAGTGTATGGCAATAGTGTATGGCAATCGTGAATTCAGTGATTCCTAGTACAGTTTAATGCTACTGGCTACTGGGTTTTTGAAACAAATATTCTACTTTTTTTTTCTTCCCCCCTATTATTTTCTAAGGTTTCTTTGGTCTTTTTTCTCTATATTTTGGAAGGTTGCCTCCACCATATTTTCTGATGATTCTATTGAAAAATACTTTTTAGTAGATTTTTTTAATCTCTGAAGACTCTTCTTTTGTAATTGCTCATTTTTTACAGCATCTTTTATCTTCTTGAGTGGCGTACATACTAGAATCTCTTGCATATGTTAATTAGATATTAGGTAATTTTAAAAAATAAGATTTTTTCTAAATTATTATTTTGTGCACCTATGTTTATCTTAGTGTTTATTTTTCATTGTGCTAGTTTTTCCCATTGAGCTGGAGAGCCTTGATTTCCTATGATGTTTAACAAAGAAGGACTGTGTATCTTTCATGGATGTCTTTTACTTTTATGAGAGTAGAAGTCTTTTCACTGGGTATCTTCCTTGAGAGGAGCTCTGCAAGGCATTGGACACCGTAACTTGCAGGTTTATTTTAGGAGGGACCTGGGGGTCAGGATTTGATTCCCGTGAATGCCAGAATGAAGAGAACTGTGTTGCATGGCACCAGCTTTAATATTCAAAACCTCTTCACTGAGTATCTTACTAAAGAGCTGTGGCTACTTATTTGAGACATTTTATCCGCTGTCAGCCCTCTGTGTACTAAGGACAAAGAGCTAAGGAGATGGAAGTGGTATTACATATAAAAATATCTTTATTTCATTGCTCAAATAGAGTTAAATAACCTTATTTCAACTTCTAGGTAGAAATTGATTTGTGGTCTCAATTTGTGGCCATTAATTCTTTTCTTATTTATAAGTCTAAATCATTCAAATCCTTTTACATTATAACTTCATTTTAAATTCCTGCATTGCCTTAAATATTTTTAATGTTCTCATGGAGTCTTGGAAAGAACACAAGTTTTGCAGATAGGGAGACCAAATATGTAACTTTGATTAAGTTACTTAATCTTCATAGAGTCTCAGATTCTTTATAAAATGGAATGATAATGGTTTCCTTACAGTTTTGCTTTCACAATTTGAAATAATACAATATGAGGGGGAGAGCTCTATTTTTTTTTTTTTTTTTTTTTTTTTTTTTTAATCCGTGGCACACTGTAGATTCTCTGGTATCAAATGAGCATTCAGTAGGTGGTAACTATAAATTAATACAGTTTTGGAGAAAGGGTCACTAGGAGAAATAGAGAAGGTTAATAATTGTGAAGAGACCAGTAACGGAGAGCACAAATGATTAAAAGCTTACACACTTTTGGCCAGGTGGCTCATTTCTGTAATCCCAGCACTTTGGGAGGCCAAGGCGGGCGGATCACAAGGTCAGGAGATTGAGACCATCCTGGCTAACACAGTGAAACCCCGTCTCTACTAAAAATACAAAAAATTAGCCAGGCGCGATGGCGGGCACCTGTAATCCCAGCTGCTGGGGAGGCTGAGGCAGGAGAATGGCGTGAACCCACGAGGCGGAGCTTGCAGTGAGACGAGATCTTGCCACTGCACTCCAGCCTGGGCGACAGAGCGAGACCCTATCTCAAAAAATAAATAAATAAATAAATGAATGAATAAATAAATAAAATAATAAAATAAAAATATAAACTTACACAGTTTTAATAAATAGAAGGTTGGAGAACAATGTATATTTTATAATTGTTGTTTAGCTATTTTGTTAGATTTTGCCGTTTATTTACAAATACATATAGTACAAAACTACATGATCATGTTTAAGTATGTAAAAATAAAAGCTGATTTTATATTAATTTGAAATATGTTTTTGTTTATATCTTTATACTTACATATTATGTAAAATATAATATAAAAATATTATATATTCTTTTCTAAGAAAAAAATAGTTAAATTGAAGAATCTAACTGTAGAGGAGGAGGAAAGTTTGAACAATAAAACGTCACTACGAGCTGCATTTTTAAATGTAACAGTGATTTTACTGTTACCCTTAGAAACAGAGTTTGGAAACATAACAAAAGAAATCAGAAAGTATTATAGTTTAGTAACTATTTATTATTATTTAATAAGAAAATTATACTTTCCTTTAAATAATATCTTTTCTTTTACTAGATAAGAAACTGTGGTGGGCAGACCAAAACTTAGCTCAGCTGGGAACCTGCAGCAAAAGAGATGGAAGAAACCCTACCATCTTACGGAATAAAACATCTGGGGTAGTTCATATGAAAGTATATGATAAAGAAGCACAGCAAGGTAAGTCACACTAATGAATTTGTGCCAGGTTTTGAATACATAATGTGCTCTTTTTCATACTAGCTCCTCAATTCAACAATAGAAGGTTTCTATTCTTGCTTCTAATAAAAAAGAAAAAAGGAAAATGTTGCTTACTACTGTAGGAGAAATGCCTTTAACATAGGTGCATAATGAGCTTTGAAAGCATTAACAAACCTGCCTTAGGAGTCTTAATTTGTCAGGTCTTCAAAGAGGTCTTATCCTGTTCTTGACTAAAAAAATACAAGAATAAGAAAATATAACCTGGCAAAATATATACAATGTATATTTAAGCACAGAATCTGAATGAACTAGGGGCCTTCAAACGGACTACATCAACAAAAGAATTCCATATCCCAAAGCACTGCATTGTTTGGCTCTAAGCATTCTGCATTTTTGTTTTTGCTTGTCCAAATTGTGTGCAGTGAAATGGAGTGAGAGAAATAACAGATGGTTTACATAGGTAGACTTGTCACACTGCCCAAGTGGCAATTGGATTAGAGATGGCAGCCAGTACAGCCCCACATCTGCTAGTCCTTTCTTACTTTTTGCTTCATAATCCATGACATTAGTAGAATTCTCTTTCTTAAAACAACAACAACAAAAACAACCCCCCCCCCAAAAAAAAATGTGCTCTACTTTCATACATTAGTCTCTTCCATGCAAATCCTTAGCTTCACATACTTTTCTTAGGAAAAATTTTCCAGAATGATTTTGAACACTAAGAAAGGGATTTTCATCTGAAGGATTGGGGGTATGTCGACCAAAGCAGAGAAGAGTAGGGGAAAAATAGAAAACCAAGGAGACTGCTATTTCTGAAGATAGGTGATGACCATCAAGCAAGCAGAATTTATTGGACATACCAATTGAGAGCGCTGTCTGCACATCAGGAGATAAAATAGAGATCAGATTCTAGGGTTTGCCTTCCCCGTGCAGGCAATGGGTCACACTGGTTTGGAATCTTTACTTGCCCCAGGCAGAAGAAAACATATTACTTATTCATAAAAAATTAATAACTTTAGAAGAAAAAATTGCTTTAAACATTTATCTCAAGTATTTGTTGGGTTCCTTTCGTTGTTGAGAATTTATGAACGTTTGTCAATTCATATATACAGAATGTACTTGCACCCAAGAGAATGTATATACATACATATACATACATGTATAACCTGAGAATGTGTATTGTACCCAAACTGTTATCTATGTGTTCTCTGAATTTTTAGGGTCATGTCCACAATAATAAACAAAGATATTTTTCACTAGCAATTCAGTAATGAAATTTTTCTGTATCAAAATAATAATTATACTGACATTCAAGTCATGGGAAATAGATTATATAATTGAGAATAAAATACTGCTACTCAGTAAATAAAACATTGAGGCATTTTCTCAGATATCCATAGAATATAATTATGTGTAAAAACTCACAGTACTATTGTAAATCTTAGTACATAACACATACATATGAGACTGTATCTGAAAACATAACATTAGAAAATATGAGGGGGGGGAGGGTATGCAAGAGAGTGAGAGAGAGAATTTCCAAACAAAGCATTTTAAAAAAATTATCCACTTTTCCAAACTGTGAACAAGTATATGCTTTGTTTTAAGCTGTAAATTAATATGTCAAATTTTCTAGATATAATTCCAATGAAGTTTGTAGGGGGAAACATTTAGTATATGATTCTCAGTGTACTTTACCCTTGTTAACAAGATTTTCCTCATCTTTTAAAGATTTGATTCTATAGGTATAATTGGGTGTTCTATGCTCTATGAAAGTATTGCCAAATGATCAAGGACCTCTAGCACTTAGAAATCAATGGTATAACATGAATAAAGTTAAAATTTAAGCAGTGAAAATACCATTTTTACTAGAATATGCTGATAAAAGCATCTGTATTAAAGACAATCCCATTAACAGAATTACTGCGGTAGCGTAAAAGCTTCATTAGTATGAAATATGACCAATTTAGGACTCTTTAAGCTGTTAACATTACTACTTATTTGGATTTCAAAGTACAATTAGTGACTTAATATATCATTTTTGACAAAGATCACTGGAGAGTTGAGACTTCTTGTTAGTCAAGTGTACTTTTTAGCTCCACTAGAGATTTGGGGCATGAGGTTTCAACATCCATATCATTATAAATTATTAAGCCAAGCTAGTATTTATAATTTGATAGATAACAAAAATTTAAAAATAAAACATAAATTTGTTACATAAATTATTACTTTTTAATTTTACTATATTTTTCTACTTTAAATTTAACAGAAAAAGAACCTTATTGTAAATAATAATTCATTTCATTATTTTTTACTTTTTCTCTGCTTCACTATTAATTTCTTCTTAGAGACTAAACAAAGGATACAGGAAATGTATATGGTTAGTGTTTAACATTAATTGTTGAAATATATTAATTTTATTGTTTATCAAAAATATAGTTTTGCTATATATATCTGAATATTTATCTGAACTATTAAATATAATACTTATATATGGCTATTTTTGCAATTATATTAAAAATATACAGCCCCAGACCCAGAAAGTCCTTTTTTTTCACGTATTTTTGCTATTATCAAGGCTATATAACCCCTCACATTCTTTTATTTATTTCTCTATTTTTTGAGATGGAGTCTCACTCTGTCACCCAGGCTGGTGTGCAGTGGCACCATGTTGGCTCACTGTAACTTTCATCTCCTGGGTTCAAGCAATTCTTCTGCCTCAGCCCCCTGAGTAGCTGGGATTACAGGTGCCCACTACCATGCCCGGCTAATTGTTTCTGGATTATTTTAGCAGAGATGGGATTTCACCATGTTGGCCAGGCTGGTCTGGAACTCTTGACCCCAGGTGATCTGCCTGCCTCGGCCTCTCAAAATGTTGGGATTACAGGCTTGAGCCACTGTGCCAGGCCACATTCTCTTATTTTTAGAAGTTCATTGTCTTTCCTAACTTATTTTTCTTTACATTTTTTTTTTTTTTTTTTTTTTTTTTTTTTTAGACAGAATCTTATTCTGTCACCCAGGTTGTAGTGCAGTGGTATAATCTCTGCAACCTCTGCCTCCAGGGTTCCGCTATTCTCATGCCTCAGGCTCCCAAGTAGCTGATATTACAGGCGTAGACACCATGCCCGGCCAAGTTTTGCTTTTTTAGTAGAGATGGGGTTTCGAGGCAGGCTTGTCTCAGAACTCCTGGCCTCAAGTGATCTGCCCACCTTGACCTCCCAAAGTGCTGAGATGACAGGCATGAGTCACCGTGCCTAGCTTCTTCAATTCCCTTATTTTTCTTTCTCTCCAAATGTTGTCCTTCATGCTTTATAGTTAAGTATCATCTGCCGATCTCTCCCCAGCCTTTCAGTCTTGGTAGTTGAAATACATCTGCATCTAAATACATCTCTCTAAAAGATTGGCATTACATGAATATACCCATGCTTTCTACAAAATGAAATATGGAGATTGTCAATATAGAATTATTATAAATCTAGGCTGGCGGCAGTGACCCATGCCTGTAAAACCAGCACTTTGGGAGGCCCAGGTGGACAGATCACTGGAGGTCAGGAGTTCAAGACCAGCCTGGCCAACATGGTGAAACTCTGTCTCCACTAAAAACACAAAAATTAGCCAGGTGTATTGGCTGGTGCCTATAATCCCAGCTACTCGGGAGGCTGAGGCAGGAGAATTGCTTGAACCCAGGGAGCAGAGGTTGCGATGAGCCAAGATTGCACTGCTAAACTTCAGCCTGTGCAACAGAGTGAGACTGTCTCAAAAAAAAAAAAAAAAAAAAAAATTCTATAAATATAATTGTTTTGTTATTTGATAAATTAGAGAAATGAAATTTCATCTTAATGTTATACGTCAGTTTGGAAAAAATGTGGAGTGAATCAGTTATTTTTTATTAGTTTATATAGGATAAATGTAATCATTTCAAAAGTTCAGGGCCATTATGTGACCCTACATAAAATGGAGTTCATCAATGACTGAACTGGCAGATATGGGACATGAGCAGCGAATGTGGTAGATCTCCTGATGAGAAATCTCCCAAGTTGAGAGTATTTCACACTTCAAAAATGACAGCCCTCATGACAGGTTCGATTGAACAATTAAATCCCATCAGACTAGGTTGAATTCAGAAGAAGAGAAATAATGAGCTGCATTGGTATTTTGAAATTTCCACAGAGAACTATTGATATAGAGCTTTCATCATGCTTTGTAATTCTCACCGGATTTATTGCACTTCATATCAGTGCTTGAATATCCAATAAATGGCATTGCATGCTCTAGAATAATAAAAAAGCTGTGAAAATGGGATATTTAATGAACTTTCTTGGTAAGATTGTAAATTACTTAACTTCACACTACCAGCATTAATTAGCACATTGGGCCTAGTAAATTCAATGAATCATCTTCAGTAGGGATTCTAGAATGCCTACCTGTGATTACCTGGCTAATATTTGTTATTGGTACTATACAGAAATAAGAGGAATTAACATGCCAATTAATTAGATGACCCTTATGGCTGTGTTTTTCATACATTTTGGGAGAACTATGTTTCTATGAATGGGAAAATTTATTTCCTTGCTTTTAAAAATTAATTGAATACATATAAACATACATACCTCCTTTCTCTTAGATGCGTAATCTTTGAGTGGTTAGTAATAATTTAACAGCTATTTATGTGACACATTCGGATGAAATATTCTTGCAAAGGAAGTAATTGTAGAGTTGAAATTTAAAAATCAAAAGAGAAAAAGATTCTGGTTTGTCTGATCTTAAAATATTACAAAGGTCTATGAAAATATTTATGACAAATCAATTTCCTTTTGCTTTTCTGTAACTATTAATCTTCTGATGTATCTCTGTTGACTTTTTTGAAAGGGCAAATTCAACCATAATTTGCTACTTTAAATTATTCAAGAAAATAAAATGTAATCCCAACCAATATGAAACAACTGCATTTCAAAATCAGTATCATACATATTTGTTAAATTATTGATATTAAATAAAACTTTATTTTTTAAAATTTCATTAAAGGAATATGTTTTGTTTTCATTCTATGCAGGCAGCAATTCTTGCCAGCTAAACAATGGTGGATGCTCTCAACTTTGTTTACCCACATCTGAAACTACAAGGACGTGTATGTGCACAGTGGGATATTATCTCCAAAAGAACCGCATGTCATGTCAAGGTATGAGTTCATGGAAAACCTTACCTCTGGTTCATTTACTTCATTAGTCATTACATACCATGCAGACTTTAAACACTAAAGTCAGTTAAACATTAGAAAAGAAATTAACCAGTTATTAGGAAGTGGTATACTGTTTAGTCTCATATGTGTAAGATTTTAATATTTGAAATATTTAAAATATTGTTCTGCCTTATAAGACATTCTAATTTTTTAGTTATTTTTAACAACTGCAGTTTATTATCGAACCTTTAACCAAATCTACTAGAAGCTACCTTCAACCTGAATAGGCAAAAGTTATAGTGAAAAGCAGTGCTTGATTGGCTGGAATTAATGTAGAATTTGAACTAAATAATATTTACTTTAGACTATATTAGAGAAAGCACTAGAGAGAACGTGAGGTCTCAGGTTTGCATAACTGAGGGAGAAAAGCACTGTAAGAGAATTGGTACCTAAGAAATCTTGTTTTGCAGTCTTTACTTCTATTAGTCCCAAAGAACTTTGTTTCTAGGATGATCTTTTATATCTAATGATCTTAATTTTATCTTTAAAAATGTTCCAATCTTATTTGAGAAATATATATGTATATTAATATTATCATTTATTTTATTTTAAATCAAATATTTATATGATACTTATTACATACATGGCTCTGTTCTAAGTACCTTAAACATATTAATTCACTTAATCTTCATAACGTCATGAGGTAGGTCTCTTATTCAGAAATGAGGAAACTGAGGCACAGAGAAATTAAGCAACTTAATCAGGTTACATGGATAGGAAGGAGCAGAAACAGATTTAATTCTAGGCATTCTAGTTTTAATAAGAAAAAATATATAAATATTTTCTAATATATTGGCAAAATGCATAAGCTTTAGCGGGTGTACTTCTGGTAGTTAGCTTAATATTTACGTGCCTGTTTTAAGACAGGCTTTTGATGCTACAGAAGTGAGATATTAATAGCTAATTAAGCTATTGATGTATTCTTAGTATGACAAAGATTTATGAAGACTATCTTCATAAATTTCTTAATTTGAGAAATCTAAATGTCTATTAAAATATCAGTGATATAGTAATCTTAAATCAGATTTATTATCATCTATAAGTAAAGAGATGTTTGGATTTTAAGGAAGAGGGAATAAATTTTGGTTGAGGGATGAGGTAGGCTTCCGCGAATAATCTAACTCAGTGCTTATGAAAGTGTGGGGCCCGTACCAGCGTCGTCAGCACCAACTGGAAGATTTTTAGAAATTTAAATGATCAGGCTTCTGGGATGGTACCCACTAATTCATTTTAATAAATTCCTATTTTAATAAATCTTACGCATAAACAAATTTGAGAACTACAAATCTACCTACCTTTCATTATTCAGGAAGTGTAGTGCACAATAGTTTTTAAAAAGGCTAGGAAATACTTTTATTAACATAAATTAAGATTGTTAAAAATAATACAAATGAAATTATTTTTATTTTAAATATTCATCCTGGGCTTCCCTTCCCCCACTTATCTCCTGCCCTGCATTTAGGTATAGAATCATTTCTTATGTACTCTGTTCATGAAGGAATCAGGGGAATACCTCTTGAACCAAGTGACAAAATGGATGCTTTGATGCCTATATCAGGAACTTCATTTGCCGTGGGAATAGATTTCCATGCAGGTAAATAGCTTTTTAGTCATAATTTATGCATAATGTATTCACTTGATTTATTAAACATGATGCGAATACAACATTTTCCTCTGTACATTAACAGTCAAGGTGAGAAATAAGAAAACAGCAAATAGATAAATTTTAAAGCCAATCATAAATTGTTCTAAATATGTAATGTCTGAAAAACAATCAAGTAAAATTGTCCGAAAGTATAGCATTTGAATTGCAATTGCATTAACATACCATGATTAGCACTTGCTTGCTTACTTTTATTTCTCTCTCTTTTTTATTTTGATACTTTACTTTTATCTAGTTACAAATATAAAGACATATAAAGCATGTTGACCTATTTATACTAAAATATAATGTTATTTAAAATATAATCAGGATGTGATTTTCTATTGTAATACAAGCAGTGGCAAATGAAATCCAAATAATAGAAACAATTATACATGCTAAACCATTAAAAATTATTGTTGAGTATAGTATGTATCATTTGGAGTCAGATTTTACTTTACCTTCTTATATTTTAGCAAACAGTGAAAGGAAGCAACAGGAAGCAAAGTGGACACTAACATTTTGCTGCGGCTAATATGAACAAATGATTGGGAATTAATGGTAGACACTGTTGAATTTGCTGAAGTAAACAAGTTTTGGTGCTAATTGCTAAATTCTGACATAGCATAAATATTTGGTATTCACATTAAAATTCAGATTTACTACCTTCCACTTGAGGACTTAAACTTGTAAAAAGAAATGCTAAATCGTATGTTTCCTGAATTAATGTTTCAGTGTTGAACATGTAAATGCATGTCCACAGTGTTTTTATCTGTGTAAAGACTTAATTTTATCTAATGTTAAAACACAAATAGCTATTTGATTTATAATCTTAAAAAAAAAAAAAAAGAATCTTTGTAGTCTTACCCCAGCATGTGGGCTTCTGGTAGTTGCTTATTTTCCCTCAGCTCTAACACATTTTGTTTAATCATATATTAATAAAATTCTTGACTACAAGTTAGTGAATTACTGGGGATCTTCACGAATGGTTCAGAAAGGACTTTTCTTAAGCAGATTGTTTTGCACCAACTGTTTGGAATTGAATAGAGGCAAATTTTTAAAACCACCTTTACCAAAAGGAAATACAAAGAAGTATAACACATTTTATTAAGCAACATGTTAATTTTGCCAAAATCTCAGTGTGATTTTTGATCAGACTTTAATCAAATCTCATTATTGGTGGAAGGCTAATTACCTCTACAATGAATAATCTACCTTGTCTGTTAGGTACATGCATTTTATTCATTAGAATTTTATTGTATAGGATTTGTTAAGTGCAAAATTAAGAAAACTTGAACTTGTAAAAGATCTTATGCATACAGTACATTCATATATTTTTACTAGGTACATAATCCTTTGTTTCAGCTGGAGCATATATTCAATTATTTTGAATACTCCATAATGAGTTTTGTAAATATTTCATAAATTTCTATGAGGAAAAAATATTAATATAAGCAATTTGATCTAAATGTCCTGATAAGATCCTTAGTAAATCTTTCGCTTTTTAAGGGTAAATGGATCATTTGAATGAGTTGAATTCCCTCTCCAAGGTTTATATTGGCCCTCAAATGGTTACGTTTAATATCATGTACCATGATGGAGGATATTTTTATTTGTGGAGAATAGGACTTTCTGTTTCAAAATGCCCAATAATTGTTAATGTCATAAACTTATTTCATGTCAAAGTGACTTTTCCTAACGAGAAGTTACCTGTTTTAGTTAAAACTTTGTTCTTTACATTTTGCCTACTGTATTTTTATTTCCTGGGGAAAAATTATTTTCAGAAAAGCTATTTCTTCTTCTAAATGTAAAGGGATGCAAGCATATGGAATAGTCATGTAGGTAGAATGTTCAAGAATCTATTAAAATCCCTACTGTTACTCAGAATACAGCAGTGAAAAACTTTCTTTAAAACCAAAGAAGGTTAGAGATCTACAGGCCAGGGAAGCATAGTTGGAAGAAACCAGAGTTTAGCCACAGACAACCTGGGGTTCTAATGCCAGCTCAACCACTACTAGCTTTGTGACCTTGGGTAAGTTACCTAATTTTTCTGAGGCTCTGTTTCCTTACTTTTCTGGGGTGTCGGCATGTTTAGATCAAAGTAAGCAAATGTTTAACAAAGTACCTGATATACGTTGGTGTTCAGAGAATGGTAACAAAAATATCAAATAAGTGGGAAGTAAAATATTGTAGACATTATCATATTTTATATATATATATATATATTTTTTTTTACAAAGATGCCCTGGAAGCTACATTTAAATTTCTAATTAGCTAGGATTTTGTTTTACTGTTCTCTCAACTAATATTATATATTCTATACAGTTATTTGAATAGAAAAATGGGTGTTTCTTCACTACTCTGGGGTGATAAACATAGGTTAAAAAAAATCTCCCTGTTGAGAATAAACGTCATCATCATCATCATCGTCAGTCTGCAGAGCTGATGCTTAAAGATTAGATATCAGCAACTATTTACAATATTAAATGTCAATCTAAGAGGCTGGTATCCAGTGAACTAACTGAAACACTAATGAAGGTCATGATGGTGGTGGTGCTCTCCGGAGCTTTCTAATGCCTTTTTGCATGACTTTTGTTACTTCCATCTACTTTACAGTCTGATCCTTTATTAATTGTGTTTTATGAAAATATATTAGGATCAGAATAAGTGTCAGCAGCTTGATTTATAATATCTTTATAGTGATGATATACAAGCTCTGTGACTTCGTGGAGGGAAGTTACAGAGAGAGAGAAAGGAAAACCTGGATTGTTACTCAGAGAAAGAAAGAGAGAAAACAAACATTTTTTTGTTGTGCCAATCTCTACTTATTAATCTTTTTTTTTTTTTTTTTTTTTTTTTTTTTTTTTTTTACTATGGCCTTCATATTTCACCTGATTATAGGTTCTTTCTCGATTCATTTCTTTTGCAGATATTTTATTTCCTCCTCTTCCATTAATGACATTTACCCCAGGGACATAATCTCTACATTAGGATCAAAATGGAAAGGCACAGTTGCCTCTTAATCTAAACAAACAGCCCCAATCATACAAAGAAGATGCAGTGGAAGAGAATTATTTGCAAAGTACAAGTATCGTAATTTAATAATACTATTTCATTACCATGATATTACAGAATGAATGTATTGTCAAAACCTGTGCATTTCATAAGAATTAACAGATCTGAATCTTTCTGGGTTTGGTCGTAATAAATTAAAGCTTTCTGCAATGAACAAATTGTTTCTTCTACCAGATGAAGCAATTCTGGATACTCTCCACAGAAGTAAATAAGACACTGTGGCTAGATTTAAAATGTTCAAAGTATTTTTTTCTCTTCACTGGAAAAGTCCCATTCCAGTGGAAAAAAAAAAAAAAAAAAATATTGAGCTTTGAAAATCCTTGCCTGCTGAGTGAAATTCCTCCTGATAAATGAATACTGCATTTGATGCTTTAACAGATATACTTTAGTTTGGAGAAAAGCCTTCAAAACAAAGCCCATGGCTCCACTTAGTTAAGTGATCTTCAGTAAGTAATACTCTATTCAATTCAGTCCTCCCTCCCCTTGGGTACTTATGACTTTTCCTTAATAATGAAACAATAGGATGCTACTTGAAGAGGACATTCTACTCAGAGAATAATTATTCATCTGGAAAACTTCACACTTATATTCTTTTTTAATCTTTTATCTCTTTTATTCAAATTTAGGTCATCCAACTCAATGATGCAACAACTGTTGGTTACTATAATATCTACCAGGTTTAGAATTTCACATCTAAGTTGCTGGGGAAGATAAAGATAAACAAGGGCCCAGCTGTAACGGCTCATACCTGTAACCCTAGCACTTTAGGAGACAGAGGTGGGAAGATCACTTGAGTCCAAGAGTTTGAGACTAGCCTGGGCAATATAGTGAGACCCTGTCTCTATTAAAAGAAAAAAAATAGGCCGGGCGCGGTGGCTCAAGCCTGTAATCCCAGCACTTTGGGAGGCCGAGACAGGTGGATCACGAGGTCAGGAGATCGAGACCATCCTGGCTAACACGGTGAAACCCCGTCTCTACTAAAAAATACAAAAAACTAGCCGGGCGTGGTGGCGGGCGCCTGTAGTCCCAGCTACTCGGGAGGCTGAGGCAGGAGAATGGCGTGAACCCGGGAGGCGGAGCTTGCGGTGAGCTGAGATCCGGCCACTGCACTCCAGCCTGGGTGACAGAGCGAGACTCCGTCTCAAAAAAAAAAAAAAAAGAAAAAAATAAACACAGAATAAGGGTCATTATTTGGATGTCACTGTCTGGCACTTACTATAGGAAATATTTTAATATTTTTTTACACCATCACATAGTGATCTAACTGAGACAATAAAAACACTGAAGGAACGTATCAGTATAGATTTATCTGAATCCATAGAATGTATAACACCAAGAATGAACCCTAATGTTAGCGATAGATGATAATATAAACTATGGATGTGTTGGCTTAAATTCACCTCTGGCAAATGTATCACTCTGGTGTGAGATGTTGATAGTGGGCAAGGCTGTTTGGGTATGGGGAAAGGAATATGTGGAAACTCTACTTTCTAATCAATTTTGCTGTGAACTTAGAACTCTAAAAATTAAAACCTATTTAAAAAACACTAAAGGAGTATATGTGGCAAAATATCATTGCCACATTTATATAGTGAACGTCATCTATTTACATGAAAGAATCCCTCCTTAATAGTCCCACAACATTCACATTTATCTTTGAAACGTAGAACTAGAAGGAGTATTTGACACCATTTGTAGCACTCCCTCATGACACAGGTAAGGAAACTGGAACCCAAAGAGATCAAGGGGCCATATACTAATGGAGTATACTACTCCCAGTTCTTTCCACTATGCCATCTTGCATTTGTAACCACTGAAGCAAAAGTTTATTTCGACCATTGTTGGCATTACTTGATGATGCTACACTGCACTTCTGC